AGGTGGTTCACACACACACACACATCCACACACACACACACACACACACACTCAAGCCAGTTGAGTGACGACAACCCTTGCGGACGCCATAGCACCACTCTTGAGATCCCCGGAAGGCTAAGCACTGTACAGTAATCACTGCTCTCTTTCAGCAGCCGCTCTGCCTGTGGTTTTGCGACCGAATTAAAACCGGACACCTGCCTTCAAGGAGCTTTTCTGCTCCAGAATGCCATCGATTTTGTCATCGCTTTATTCTAGATAGTGTCGCACTCCGAGAAAGCTTGCTGAGCCTTTGCCTCTCAATCTCAAGCCTCAAATCCATGGCCATTACTTGCTACAAGCGTTCTTGTTGCCTGACACAGCCCGCAAGCACTTGTCGCTGTTACAGCAACCACTCTCGCCTCAACATTGCCCTTGAGCTTGATCCACTTCTGAAATAGGTCGTTCCAGTGCTGGTTGTTCAGGCACGTCGTCTTTCGGACACCCCCAGCTTTGCACAAAATCCTTGGCTTAAGAGCGCCTTTTTGTTCCTGAAATTCTAAGTGTGCTTCATTCGGGTAGCAATGAAGTTGAGGGCTGATAAACCCACGCCTAATTTCCAAATCCAAGTCCCACAGCGTATTTTCAACCGCCCCCCCCTCGTAATTGCAACATTCACTCTGCCAAAATGTAAGAAATTGAAGGCTAGTACGGCCAATGGAGCTCCAGCTGATGGACCTGGATACCTTAAATACGGAGGCCCGGGTCCACATCCACGTAACAGGGGGGTGGGTGCTTTTAGTATGAAATGGACATTGGAGGAAGCTCCCATGGCCTGACGTCATGGAAAACAAACCCAGGGGGACCCCCTCAGGGGTATGTGGGGGGGTCCCGGAAATAGGCGGCCCGCCTATTTCCATATCAGTCCATACCATTGAAATGCTGGGGGTCCCTTGACCACATTGCCATGAGAGAGTTGGCACAACATATAGCACATGTCTGTCTGTGCAGGCCTATCTGACCTTGAAACTGAGGATTCCCGCCTATTTTCCTACCCCCACTCCACACTGGGTAAATAGGCGTGGGAATAGGCGGCGCCCATAGTGACATAACCCTTCAACCGCCTATTACGAGGGGGTCCCCCTACAAACCCACTTAACCCACTTTGGGCATGGTAACCTCCATTTACCTCCATCACATCCAGGCGGCCTTGCCACTTGTTTGCAGTGCCGTTCTTTCCGGAACTCTCCGACCAGCGCATGTTCCATCTGCCAGTAAGCCGCGTAATCCAAAGGTGTCTCACCAAGTTTATTCTGCAGATTCCTGAGACTGTAGGCCGCTTCTGCTACATGGTCAGGGCATGTCCAGAGTTGACCAAATAATTCCTAGATCTGATCACAAGATTTTGAGGGCCACCTGCTAAACTAAATCTGTGCACGGCAATGTCTTCGGTTGCAAGGGTTGGATCCTCTTCGAAAGACCCCACCTACGAGCTTTCAGCCTCCAACGCGTCGACAGTCCGCAAAACTGAGACACAGTACAGGTCTGGAAGATAAGGAAGTCACAGGGACTGAAGGATCGAGGGCTAAGGAACCGTGTCAAGAACCGAGGTCTGCTTTCAAGGATCTACGATTATCTACGGTTTGGGGCCTTTGAACACTAAGCAAATTGTTCACAACTGCCGCAGATAACCCGCATCAGCAATAATGATAGAAACTCAGCAAGCCACTTGGGCTCCCATAAACTCCAGCCAAGAAGCAAGTCCGCCCTGGCTGCGATCAGCGCCTGGATGGAACCATCAGACCCCCCATACCTCCAAGCCCCAAAGCAACCTGCTACGACCCGCCCGGCCCTCGTCATGCTCCGCACATGCTCGCCGCCGGAGCGTGCAGCAACGTGAAGGGGCCGCTCCAGAAGCAGGTCCTTGGTTCTGGCTGAGGTGTTCATAATTGGGCGCGCCAGCAAGTTCTTCGTGATGGCCCTTTTGACGTGGCCCAGCGCAGGCACACGCGTGGCTTCGACTATGCTGCTACAGGAGGCCGCTGACCCGCATCCGGCCAGCACCACTGCATGGTGGCCGTTGTTTGTTTTTTTAGGCCTTCTCCATTGTGATCATAGGCCCTTGCTTTTGTACACGAGCTCCTACAAAGTACAAACATCAAGAACTTGCAGGGGCCCGGGCTTTTTACTGTAAGTGATGCATGCCAGCCCCCCCCCCTTTCTGCTAGACCAGCCGGCCATCCCTGACCGCCAGACCTGAAATACCAACAGAAACGACCAAGAACTACGGGATTAGGGTTTAGGGTCTAATGATGTTAATTATGAAAATTCTGCTTGGGGCGTGAACCTCTGCATGGCAGCCAAAGCGCAGGCAGGTTCACAATGCGTGGAGCCTCGGACTTCCTTTGGAGAAGCGACTTCACAGCCTTTGGAAGGAGCTTCTGAAAATGATGGGTCCCTTATTTCAAATCATGGGCACATCTTCGCAGGACTCTTATTTTGACACATCTATCTGATTGAGGTAAAGTGACGTAAAGTGACGAATCACTTGAGCATCTTGCTGAGACTGATCGTTGGGGTCGTCTGGTCACATCATGAAACAACAAGTCCTGGTATTCTCGCAGCATGCCGTCTTCGATGGTAAGTTCTCGTCATTGGCCATGTTGCCAATACTCTGCAGCAAATGACTCAAAGTGGACAATTACAACATGAGGTGTTGTACCGTGCTTATTCAATCGTACAGGCATGATGCCTTGGTGTGTAACATGTTTTTACTNNCCCCCCCCCCCCCCCCGCAGTTGCAAGCTTAAACCCTAAGCATGCTCACAAGCAAAGTTGATGTCTATCAACCAGCATGGCTGCTTGTCTGCGCTCTGCCGAGCCTCGAGGTCCCCCAGCAAGATGGCTTGGTGCAGAGGAGTGGAAGTCATGGCAGGACCACGCCCGGCTCAAAGGCTACACTGCTTAGGCCTAGGCGCCTGGGGCACTTTGGAGGCAACATCTTGAAAGGCACGGTATGTGCAATACCTATGCTTAGCCCATGCACGCCTGTGGTGGCCTTGGACTCGTTCTCATGTGCCAGCTGTGGAGGAACTAGCAGACGAGGCTGACTCTGCATTCTGCATGATCTTGCGCAGCCCGCAAGAAAATGTCCACTCGGTCAGTGGCAGCGAGAGCCTTTTTCAGTCTGCGCAGTGCTACAAGTCCACGTCGTTGTCTCAACAGTGGCTGCTCATAGGCACTTGCTGGATCATTAGCTGCGACCGTTAATGTACAAATCAGAAAAGCCCTGGAACCCTGGGCGAGAGGGGCGCTAGACGGGGTGTTCCTGCGCTTGGCCCGCTAGGTCCGCTAGACGAAGCAAGGGAGCTCACGGCGAGAGCCATGGGCTGTAGCTGGAGCTTGGGAAGCTCTGGTTTCAAGGTGAAGGAAATGCCTGGGGGAGGTGGGAGGCCACATTGCTGAAAGCCAGGTTGTCGCTGCAAATGCTGCAAACTCATAGGCGGTGAGGGGAGGGATCTCCGCGGTGTTGAAGGATCCAGCCAAGCCTCAGCATTGGGTCATAGGACACCAAGCTCTGAGCAATGAGGCAAGATCTCTAAGCCCGCGACGGTATGAATTGGCGCCCGGCAGCCCTGCATAGAGCAGGAATTTTCTTACACGGCTGCAAGATGCGGCGCGCCAAGGCTATAATGGCGTGCCTGGGCCTGCGTTGGTAAGCCATTGGCCACAAAGCAAGGCCTGTGCAAGCGCGATGTCAGGCTAAAGACTCTGCCATTGCAGCCACATGTAGGAACCTGGCTTCAGCAATGTTTGCTAGCTTCAAGCGATATGCTGCACACGAGGCAATACTGAGCACTCTGTCATGCCGTTGTGGAGTTGACCTGTGGTGGCTGAAGCTTTGTCATATACAGCAAGACTACGGCAAGGAAGGCAAAGCGAAAATACACTTCGCTCCACGCGCAGAGTCACAGTAGAAAATGTCGCCGTACCCATCCAAAACATCCCAACTTGGGACCAGCTTTGGCAGGCCCCTTTCTCAGCTTTTATGAAACCTCTCGCTGGTTTTTGCACACTTTCTCAGGGTTAGGGCGATTGATTTGTCGAAATCTGTGTTCCCTCCTTTCTTTCGTGCCAGTCTTCCATGCGCGCTGACCGCTTGTTTGCATCGCTCTTTTCACAAGCTTTGCCAGGTAAGCGTGTCCTAAATGTCTGAATATTTAATTTCTCGACAGCGTCAATCGGGAGCACCTGCCTTTCAGGCAGGATGCAGGGGGAGGCACTCCTCCGAGGTTGCAACATGCCGCCGCCCTGAGTTTTATGGTACAACCTTAGCCCGAAGTCCTCTGCTCCTGCAGCCGCGGGGAGACGCTCCTGGCATCAAGCTGCCATCCCCCTGGTCTTGGCATGAAAATAATCAGGTTTGCTCCGCATCCCGCATCTAACCTAATCCCTCTACTTGCTCAGCAATCTGATGCCTCCCTCTAGGGGACACGGTCCTGCCCCACACCCTTGGGCCCTGAAACTAAACAGAGGGGAGCCATAGTTATGAGAAGCTTCCTATTGCAGTGTCAAGTCCCCACAGTCAAGCACTTCGCTCAGCGCAGCATCAACCAGTGTTTTAGGAAAAGCACCGGACATTCAACACTCGGCAAAGGCAGGGTATCTATAATGCCTCGGAGTCAGCGCGGCCGAAACTACCGGCGCAGCGGAGAGCGCTATTTGCCTTCTGGCCGTCAATTTGTGGAGTAGATGATGTTTGTTGTTGTTGTTGTTGTTGCTCTGGTGCTCGGTCCCAGCCAGGATTATCATCACACTTTCCCCCAGCATAGTAGGATCCCTCATGAGGTAAGTAAGTATTTCAGCCCTACATGCTCGACAGTATGTGACAAGAAGCTTGTGTTTGTCAACAACTGTTGAACCAGGTGGGTTCTGAGGAAGAAAGCTTTGCTCAAAGCAAAGCGGCGAACGTTCGATTGATTAGCTTCAATGATTCAAACCTTCTCCCGTGCACCATGAAGCAATATTAGAAGGAACATGTCTCTCGGAGGTCCGGGATGCCAACAAGAGCAGCTTGAATTCTGCAGGAGGAGGCTTGACTGCCAGCATGATTTTGCAATATTTTGCAGGTGGAGTTTCAGGATTGCGCATTAATTCTGGTAGCCTGAATTTGAACTTCACCGGCTTTAGAGGCTAGCACGCGACCCTGGAAAACAAAGCCAACCTCTGACAAGAATACTTGGACCCCCAAAGAGCTTTCGTTATTATGGAGGGCCAACTTGGGAGCATGTTGTTTGCACAGCTTGAATAAGACTGTGCAACAGGCCCCAGTTCCTTAAAACCGGTAAGGCCCTGGGAGGGTCTTAATTGATCTTACCTGGCTTTGGTCACCTTGCCCGGCCTTGGAAGACTGCTTGGCTGCAGAGCTGCCACTGGCACCAACCTTCCCACTACTTTTGGGCGGTCTTCTGCATGTGAACTGACACAAGATGGTACCTTTAACTTTCAAGTGAATATTCAATACTCTGAGCAGGGCGCGTGACAAGCTGTTCTGTGTCAGAGAAATTCATTTAACAGTAACGCTTCCTCATTTCTAGTCCAAGACCCTGCCCAAATCGGATAAGTCAGAACTTCTGTCGTCAACGCCTGGGGCGAGCCTGCAACCTTTTACTGGTCAGCAACTCTTTGATTCTTTGATTATCGCTTCTGGCTATGAGCTCCATTCCTCGAGGTTTCTGTCAGCTTGCGACATTGTCATTAGAGCCGCCTGAGTGGTAGCCGCTTTAGTGTCAATTTTTTCCCCTCCCGCGTAGCTGAAGCAACTCTGCAGGGAACAAATGAAGCATCTGAAATGCACAGTTGAAAACCAACTTAATTCACAGTCTACGCAGGCGCGGATGAATAGGAAGACCCAGAATAAACAACTAAGAATCCACTCTCACCCTACAAAACAACCGCGCAATAACACAAAGCAGGATTCACCCACACCCCGGATCTCCGGCTCCAGGGGACTATCTAGGATCACTCACATACATCAACGGCAAGATTCAGGGACCTCTACACTACAGAAAGGGGTTTAGTGCCAATGCTTTTCGAGCCTGAAAATCTCAGGACAGTCCTGCTGGCAAAGTGCGGCAGCTTTCCGCTAAATTACAGCCCCTCCCTTCCGCCTGGGGGAGCTGCTGACCTCCTGGGCCCTGCGCATCAAATTCATTGCAAAGAATCTGGTGCTGCAATTGGTAATGCATTTGCAGGCCTGTGCAGCAGCGACGTCTGAGAGGGAGACGCCGTCAATACCCTGATGATTCGTTTCCAAGTGACTATGACAGCTCAAGCTGACATTCAGCTGGACTGTTTACGCAAGCCCTGCCAAATCCAGAAGTCCTACCACAACCCTCAAATTTCTCATGAGATCTCATGAGACACCCCAAAGCTCCTGGGAGAAATGCTGCGCAGATCGGCTTGTTCCAGTGTCCTTTCACCAGGACATGCAAGGGCTTCATTGCGCCGCAGCTCAGCCTGTTGCTATCCAGTCTCCTCGCTGGAAGAACTCCCTGGTATGGTACGGCCGGAAGTATCCTCTGGTCAAAGCCGCTTAACGCAGCCAAAACGCAGGGTGCTGCTCTGGTGTTCTTCTGATGCCCATTGCCACGAGCTTAGGGTACGAAAATGGGACCCTAAGTGCCCTTTGGAAGCTACAGTTTTCATAGATTCCCTATACCTCCCTCAAATTAGGCTTCCATGCAACCTTGCCCTTGACTCCTGGCGGAGTTGTTCCGCACAGGCACGGCCTCCACACTCCTTTGTCTGGTGGGAGCAGATTTGAATCCTACTGCGTAACACCCCCCAGCTCAAACTAGCTGTGCAAGAGATATGAGATGATATGAGTGCCCTCCTTGCTGGAGTTGCCGCTTGCACGTCTGCTTGGATAAACCTGCGGAATGCTGCCAAGAAAGCCAACTTTCCTCACGCCGTGTACGGCCCCAGGCCTCGCAACTGAGGATCCGTTCCACGGTGTCTCCCTGTCGTCGTGCTGTGCTCTGTACCAACATGTATCCACTTCAGCCCGAACTAACTTGTTAATGTACAGGACTCTTGACTTACATGCTGGCGATGAATGGCGTGTAGTCGTAAGCCCTCAGCCCTTAGCACAAACTGATGCAACGTTCGGTTTCAAAATGTTTGACGACTCATTCGGATCACAGCACGCTGCCTTGGAAAAGCTCTTGGTTGCAAGATTTGCGAAGAGCTCGACACACGTGACCTCATGCGTGCACAGTCGCAGGAGATAGGTGGAGCAGTCGCGACAGGAAGCAGCCTGTCAATACTCAAGCAGCTGAAGCACTGCTCTGACATGTTAGGAGCATCTGAAGCCGCGGCAGTTCCCTGACTTCGCCCGGGCTCTGCACATCTACTGGCTTCAGTGCACACTCCCCATTTGGGGGAGTGTGCGCAATATCCTTCGTTCAGCGCAAGCTAAGAACAGTGACATGCTTAACCAACTCAGCATCCAAAACGTAATCCCAAGTCCTGCGCCTTCGCACCGGGACAGGATGAAGACGTAGGCACTGACAATGCGAGGGAACTACATCGCAGGCCACGCGAATTAAGCAGATTCAGCGATTTAGTGGGCCTGCAGGGGCTTCTTGCCACGTCTGTCTTGGACGTAGTGCTCCAGCGCTGAACTGTTTCCAAGACCTTGCGAGGAATTGCTGGTTACGGAGGCGCAGGAAGCAGCCAGTTGCACGAATCTGCTTCTCAGTGCTGAACTGCTCCACGTTGGCATCGAGCTGGCGCAGCTCGTCTACCTGCTCGGGTTCTGTATCGCTGGGCTGTCACCACAAAGCGTATGCAACGTACGATCTGAGAGGCATGCCGCCCGCGCTCTCAACTCTGGACCTGGTGCCGAACAATGCGCATTGCTGCATTGCATGACCATTGCACGTCGCTGCTTTAATCTGCTTGCGTCAGGGCCGGGCCCATCTCGTCAAGGTCATAGATAAAGAGCTTTGGATACAGTTTCTGCAGAGCCCGACCTCAGCAAAGCCAGTACTTTATGTGTGTCGCAGCTTGCCGCACAACACCTTGAGGAAGGCACTGAAGTCAGCACCGCTTGTGAGCAACCCGTCCTTGCAAGCTGCTGCTGCGGCGTGCTATGAGCTCCACCTGCCTCAAGCACCCTTTCAAAGGACAGGGCTTCATCGTATATCGCTTGCCGCCTTCAAAATCTGGTTCGATGAGCTTCAATTTTCACAAGCGCACCGCTCGCGACTTGGGTGACTTGAGACCACGGCTCCAAGGGTACGCTGAAATAGCGGGCTACATTCTCGCCTCAGGACAGTCGGGCAACAGCCTGAGAGTGCACCAGCCACCCAGTAAGAGACAAGCGCAGCGTTCCAGCAAATTCGGGGGAGCGGATGAACTCGCCCATCTCCCCCACGTCAAACCTGGGAGTACGAGGGCTTTGGCCACGCTACACACCCGCATGCCGCTCATTGACATATCTCAGGCTGTTGCCAGTCGTGGAGAAGTCCCCGGACCTCAACCTCGGGCTTTTGCATACGAAGCTTTTGGTCGGCGCTGGGCAATCATGCGTATGTGGAATTGCAGAGGCTGGGGCGCGCAGCATCCTGCTTGAGACTGGCGGAGGGGGCCCCGGAGACGGTACCTTTTGACAGCGTGACCGGTGGTGGAAAGTGCGCGCGAACGACAGCAATCAGCATGCTGATGCAAGCCTTCTCCATCTCTGCATCGGCAACCAAGTCAGCCAGGCCTCCGGCAGAACCTCTAGCTTTATTTCAGGGAATTGCGGAACAAGCAGGCAGCCCACAGGCCCCTAAAGCAATTCGGGGAGCGCACGACTTGCAACCCGCACAGTTCCAGGCGCGGACGTCCCTTTGATGTTGATTTTGACCATGCAGCCAATGATTAATTTTGCCAGGCCTGATGCTATGACATATGCCTCAGAGCTTCGTCAACAAGAGGTCTGCAGATCAAACACTGCAGGCACTGATTGAGAGCTGCTGATGTAAGGCCAGTACTTCCGGCATTAGCGCCGACGCTGCCATGATATCATTGCAAGTGATGGATGATGAGCTTACAACCTAAATTCTAAGGTGATACTGCTGTTGGCACATGTCTTCTCCCACGCCCGCCCGCCCACAGTGTTACGTAGTTCTGCGCTCGCCTGAGGCTATGCTATGCGGTGTAAGATCAAATATTTGACTTGTTTTCCAAGCTTTCGAATGATACTGCAAAGTGTGGGTGTGATTGGGGTGTTTGTCTGCTCGCATGTAAGTTCATCCCAACTTGCCCAATGCACTGCGTTCTAATTTGCAAAGCCTTGAGCCCCAAAGGATCCCAAAGGCATAGCTTCAAAAAGCCTCAGCCTCCCGGCGAGCACCTCGCTCCAGTCCCCATCCCACCACCCCAGCTCTGCCACGCCTTGCGTTTAGCGCGCGTAGACCTTGCGTTGTCGAGACGATTTCCTCCACAGTTGAAACAGGCCGTAGCCACATGCTCAGGGTCGTCGAGCCGGGCAACAGTAAGAACAAAAGAGAAACGTCGGGAAGCGGTATGAAAGTTGCCACCGATTTGACGCGCATGCTAGGGGAGGCTGGTCCCCTTAGGCTTGCAGTGGGGGCTGACGCAAGACTTCACGACAGTGTGGAGCCTGGCAGCATATGCAAACTCACGGAGCGACGTGAGAAATAGCGTGTAAACAAGGGTTCAGCTTGAAGCCTGACACTTTAGTGTCGACGTAGTTAAAAACTCTGCCACTGCATCCTTGGTTTCTGCTTCGAAAGCCAGGGACAAGTATGCTGCAAGGGATGAAAACTACTGTATGTCCAGGCCCATGGCCCTAACCAACAGGTCGGCAATGCGATCGGCTTCTGAATCCAGTTGGGGCGAGATTGAGGAGAGGCTCGAGCCCAGTGATGATTGTTCGGACTTGAAAATGGAAAGAGTTTGAATCACACGAGCCTTCTGCCTCTACTCTTGACCAAGGTACCAGCAAAAGGTCATCCAAGACGGTGGGGATTCAAACAGCAGCTGACAACGCAGGACATGTCCGCATAGCATGCCAGAAGAAGCGGAGCACGTAGGGAACGGAACAATTCAGGTCAACCTTGGAAATCGTGGAACCTATGGGCTCAACTGGCGGCTAATTATCACACAAAGGCCATGCTCCAGAACATGTCCCCATCTGTGGAGGACAAAGCGTAGGTAAACGAGGAAGAAGCCATGTGATTTGTTGTGGGAATGGCGTTCCTTGGCTGGGGTCACGGAGCGCCAATCCCTAGGGATATATTGAGCCGTATAGGGCCCCAGTGGCGTGAACCTGCCAGCGGGCCAATCAGCTTCAATCTGCTCCACTCCTCTTCCTCCTTCAAGGCATTCCGTATACCAAGACACCCGACAACTTCCACCACGTATTGCTGGACGACAGTGTGCACAGACGATTAATGCACTCCTGCTTTGCAAAACCTGGCGTATTGCTCCTCCAGTTTGCCTGAACGCACCCTGCAGGAATGTGGTTCCAGCGTTGCGGCAAGAGAACAGCTAAAGCAGGCATAGCTCCCAGTACAGCAATGCTGCGGACGGTCTGGAAGCAGGCATGGTGCTCTGGATGCTGCTTGGAAGTTTAGGTAGTTGGTACTACTACTATGAATATGACGAGTACAAACATTAGTAATTGTATGAGCACTTATATAAACACTACAACTCATAACAATAATACCCTTAATCATACTAAGAAGAAAAATAATAGTAACAAGACGAATAGTAGCCCAGCAAAGCAGCAGCGATCCAGGAAAGTGCAATCGGAGAGTTTGTCTTTGACGTTGCAAATCCTAGGGTTTCAAAGCTTAAGGTTTGGGGCTTGCAGGTATGGTGATTTAGGTGCAGAGAGCATTAAAACAACAACCAAACAAGAGTATTACTAACTATAATTACTGCTACTATATTATTGTTGTGATTTTGTTTATGTTGCTAATGTTGCTGCTTACTGCTGCCGCTGCTCCTACTGCTGCTGGGTGCCTTTGATTCGTGCGTTGTTCTTGTTGTGACGCCTCATTGCTGCTTGCTGGGGCTGTTGGCTTTTTTGCTGCCATTGTTATTGCTGCTGCAGTGTGCAGTGGCTGCTGCTTGTCGCTGGCGTGGCTGCCGCCTGCTTCTTGCTTTGCTCTTTACTCTTGCTGATGTTGTTGCTGTTTGCTAATGTTGCTGGCTGCTCTTGGCTCTGCAGCTTACAGCTTGCTTCTTGCTGCTGGCTGCCTCTGCTGCTAAGGCTACTGCTTGCTGCCTTTATTCTTTGTTGCTGCTGCTGCTGCTGCTGCTGCTGCTAATGCTGCTGCTGCTGCTGCTGCTGCTGCTGCTGTTACTGCTGCTTTCTTGCTGTCAGCTGCTGGCTGCTATTGCTTGGTGCTGCGTTCTTGTGGTGATGCTTGTTGCTGCTTTCTGTGTTGCTTCTTGCTGCTGCTGCTGCTGTTGTTGCTATTGTTGGTGTTGTTGTTTGCTGCCGTGTGCACCTGCTGCTCTTCGTTCTTTGTCGCTACTGCTGCTGCTGCTGCTGGGGGTGGTGCTCCTGTGTGCTTACGTTGCTAATGTTGCTGCTTGCTGCTACTACTCCTCGATGCTGGCTGAGGTTGCTGCAGTTGCTGCTGGTTGTGGCTGCTGTGCACTATTGCTTGGTGCCCTGTTCTTGCGATGATGCTTTATTGCTGCTTTCTGTGGCTGTTGCTTCTTGCTACTGTTGCTGCAAGGTGCACTTGCGGCTGCTTGTGGCTGGTGCGGCTGCTGCCTGCTGCTTGCTATGCTCTTTGCTATCCTTGCTGATGTTGTTGCTGTTTGCGAATGTTGCTGCCATTGTTGTTGGCTGCTTACAGCTTG